TCCGCGTTAGTCTACCACCCCGCGCCGTGGCCGTCCCATGCGCTTACCAGCGCGCCAGCCCTACCCTCGGTCACGCGCACCTATCAAGAACAAACTTTCATTCCCTAACCAAGGTCGTAACACGGTCCAGGTCGGTCGGCTACCCCGGCCGCCCATTCAATTAGAAAAATCACACGCGCGCCTTAAATATTGCGCGTCCACCTACTCCCTACCGGGACAAGGCAAACCTTTGCTTGCATGCGGGCGACCCTTGCATTTTCCCGTGCGGGCACTCAGAATCCAAGTTAACCGAGCCTTTCTGTCACTTGCAAAAACCAGGGCGGATACCCTTGTAAGGGTATTCGCGCCGACAACGTGTTTGCGTTCTTAGTCAATAGTTCTGTGACAATATATATATATGTATTTATAGGTAGATGTGGTCACAGACCGATCGGCTGATCGATAGATGTATTTATAGGTAGATAGGTGTAGAGATTGGCAGGGCGAACTGTTAAGCTAGACAAATAGAGAAACAGATATATTTCAAAATAGGTAGGTAGGTAGATAGATAGATAGATAGATAGTTAGATAGATAGATAGATAGATAGATAGATAGATAGATAGGCATGTAGACATAATGATAGGGACATAACTATAGAAATAGGCAGGTAGGTAGACAGATAGNACTATAGAAATAGGCAGGTAGGTAGACAGATAGAGGAGGTTCATAGAAAAATAGATAGGTAGATAGATAGATAGATAGATAGATAGATAGATAGGTAGGTAGGTAGGTAGGTAGGTAGGTAGGTAGGTAGGTAGGTAGGCAGGCAGGCAGGCAGAGAGATAGAGGAGAGACGTAGAGAACCAGAAAGATTGAAAGCAAAAAGAAAGGAAGATAGATAGAAGATGGATAGATTGATAGACAGATCGATAGGGGAACACAGTGTTTTCTTTTTTTGTGAAGTGGAGCGAAAGGAATGGGCCTCTTTGTCGTTCAAGAAAGCCCATTGTGAGCGAAACGGGATTCGAAATGGGTAGGTTGGGGGCCTTGTTGAACCCCGGAAGGGAGACTGGAACGTTTAGCTTGTGACTTGATATGTTTTGTAGAAATATGCTCTCCCTTCCCTCCCTTCCCTCCACTTCCACCTGCGTCCTCTGCCCCTCCCCCTTCCCCCCTCCCTTCCTCCCCCTCCTTTCCCCCCCAAAAAAAGAGAAAAATACCCCACCCTTTCTTCACGCGAAAATTCTCATCGTGTAGGACGGTAGGCACCATATTGCTGCTCTTCCGGGAATCAGCAGCCTGCTTCTTTGTCTGCCCCGACTTTCTCCGTGCCTGCTCCACAGGTTCTCTGTTCCCTTGTTCCAGATGGCGATATTCGCTTCTGTGTTTTCTGCCCATAGTCCAACTTCTGGAGAACAGTCACAGGACCGTGTTTCATGCTGTACAGCATTGGAGATTGACGGGGTACTTTCCCGACACAGGGTATACTCCCCACTTGAGTAGCAGTCCCCACTGGGGATGGAGTCCCGAACGTCCTGGGATTGGAACATTATTTTGTTGAGATGCAAATTGCCCCACAAGGTGTGACCCAAATAGGTGATCTGCAAATCAGTGGCTAGCATACAGCCCATGATGTAGACCACATGGGTGATCTGCAAATTTCCCCACGAGCTGTAGACCAAATGGGTAATCTGTAAATGACTGACCAGGGTACAGCCCAAGACATTCCAGGCTTGGAACATCGTTTGGGTGACCACTGACCTGCAAATTTCTGGCCAGTGTCCAGCACTTCAGCCTTGTCTCGACAACAATCAGGACCATCTTTGTAATCCTTGTTCCTCTTCTAAGTGCGTTGAGATCCTCCTCGATATCCAGGGTCTGGCTGCTGCTAATGCTTGTCTGGGCATTCTCCACTGCCCACCTTACATAGAGTTGGCCTTTCTTACAATTGCTCTTCAACTCCATGTGGATCTTCCCTGCCTAGAGCCAGGGGATGGTAGCCATACCAGGAAAGGAGGCCTTACAATTGAGGTTCTATCAGTGGCAATGAGGGACAAGTTGAACTGTAAGTGGTTTCCTCCTCCACTGCTTATCTCTGCCTGCAATGTAGATGGACCTGGCCATACGTGGCCATTGTCTATGACTTTGACCGCTGGGAGCTGTGGGACAACGGCACCATGGTCTATGCCATGATTGATGTTGGCGATTTCTTATACAATGACAACGTTTGCTTGCCGCACCCCAAACCCCTCCGCACAGTGTTTTATGTAGAAGATCACGTCTCTGTCCATGTTCTGCAGCAGGACAATGTGGCTATGCAATCTTCTCCTCTGCACAGCTACGGACACTGTTACACTCGGGTACAGGAGTCATTGTCTCTGCCTCATTAATTGATTGTGTGCACCCTCTACATCCGACCATGATGCCCGTATTGTGGTCATGGTCGTTATAATGAATGCATGGTCTTCTTTGATGCCCGTTCTTCCTTCATGTTAGCCTGTAACCGACATGCCATATGTTGGGAGTGTATCTTGGGGATGCTTAATGCCAGCCGTCGTGGCATTTGTTGTGCTGAAAATGCTAAGCTAGGCCCTCCATTTCGTCATCCGCCTCATCCCTTCTCTGTATGTCCTCTCTGACGTCAAGGACATACTGACTTATGATAGACTTTTCATATCCTTCCCTATGCTTTCATCTTCATTTCCCGTTGTCTTCCTTTGCTTTGTCTTCATTCCATATTTCCCCCCTCTCCCTTTACCTCTTTTTCACAGCTTGCAAGTGGGCCGGCATGGCACACAAGGATGTGGGCAGCTTGCGCTCAACTACTTCTACGTGGTGAGCCTTGTACGTAGAGTCACAGTAAAAGGGGAGCTAAAAGAAGAAATAAAAGAGAAACCGCGGGAAAAAGCCAAATTAAGGAAAGAAAACAACGAACTGCAGAGCGAAAGGCAAAATAACGGTTTCAGTGTGCTTCATGTTGTCTGCTGTTTTCTTCGTTTGTTTCGAAAGTGTGCTCTTTTAGTTGATACATATGTGACAATGTATATGGATAGTCATAGAGAACTGCGAGGTGAACTGCATCCAGAAAGGGAGGAAAGGGCAAGAAATAAGCGGCTGTGACATACTGTTTCGTCTGAGTTTCACCGACTCATCAGGAGGCTGAACCCCATCGGAAGGGGACTCTGCAGTCTGCAGAGGGGCGGTGAGACTACGATGAACCAGTCTGTCACAGCCCCTTGTATTTTGTCCTTTTCTCCCGTTTAGTGTACGGTTCACGGGCCAGTTCTGAATATGTGCACATACGGACAAGGCCATCTGCTGCATATAGATATGTCTTTGGGATTTCTTTTTTTGCAGGCAAGAGTGTTTTGATATGCTGGTTGGTCTTGTCCCGTTGTTTGGCCTATGAAGTTGGGGGCGGTGCTTACATGTGGGGCTTGTCATCCAGGATCTTGTTGCTCCCTGTTTTGTTATATTTGGCTGTTCCCTTCCTCTTTGCTTTGCCTCTTTGCCTTTTGGCTGTGTGCAAGTGGGTCGATATGACACACGGGGGTGGGGGCAGCCGCCGCTCAACCACATCCACGTGGGCGGCCTTGTACGCAAGAGGTTCTGAACAGGGGGAGTTGTAAGTAAGAAGATAAAAAAATGAATTGATATCTTTTTTGTTCCCTTTGTTTTTTTTCGCTTTTGCCCTCTGATAACTTTGTGACAATATATTGGTGAGCAATTTCATCCTCCATCCCACATCTCTGCACACATTGAACGCGGAGCTGGCTATTACATGGCCCTTGTTCATGCCTCTGAGCACTGGGAGCTATGGGACAACGGCATCATGGTCCGTGCGGCCAGGATTAAGGTCCGCAATTTCCTTTACGATGATGATGTTTTCTTGAGCGTCCCCACATTCTTGTATGTGGAGGGACACTTCTCTGCCCCTACGCCACAGCAGGACAATTTGTCAACACTTTGTGACCTTCTCCTCTGCATAGCTACAGACACTTTTCCTCTGGGCTGCAGGCCTCATTGTGTCTCAGTCAAGATCACTACAACGCCAGGGTTTCTGCATTTGTGTGTGCAGAGGCCTGACCCCTCCTTCCCGGACTGCGCAAACCCTACCCATCCGTCCGGACATCATATGTTATGATGAATGCATGGTCTTCTGTGATGCCGCTTGCGTCAACCGACATGCCATGTTGAAGTCTTTGGTGAGCGTGGTTAATGCCAGCTGTAGTGGGAATTGCTGTGCTGAGAAAGGTCCGCTAGGTCTTCCCTGTCATCACCCACCTCATCTCTACCGGTCATGTCCTCTCTGTCATTAAGGACAGACTGACTCCTGGGTCTTCTCTTCTCCTTTCCCACGCGCTCATCTGTATACCACACCCCTTACTTTCTCTTTGTCTTCGTTTCCATCTCCACTCTCTCTTTACTCTTCCTCTTTTTCACACTGTACAAGTAGGCCATTGTGGCACACAGGGATGTAAGCAGCTTGCACTCAACCACATGACCGTGGCGAACCGGGGATGTTGGCAGCTTGCACTCAACTACATGACCGTGGCAAACCTTGGAATGTGAGAGTCACAGTAAAGGGAAAGCTAACCCAAAAAACAGCCAAAAGAAAGAAAGAAAGAAAGAAAGAAAACAAAGAGTTGCACAGGGAACGGCAAAGGGTTGAAAGGAACGGTTTCAGTGAGCCTCATGCTGTCCACTATTTTCTTTGTTTGTTTCGCAAAGTGCAGTCTTTTAGTTGATGAGCGTGTGACGGTATTTATATATATATTTTTTTACTTTGCTCTCTTTCTTGGGCAGGGAAAAGAAGAGGACACTGGAATGACGAGGGTGAGTGAATAATTAAAAATTCTTCACCTTGTGAGTATGGGGGCAGTTAGGGGCCGTTGTTGGGGCTCAATGTAGAGAGTGGTTGCCTGAACTTGCTTCTCTCTCTTCTTTTTTTTTTTTTTGTTGTGTGGCTAATGATCTGAGGTTGGTCCTCCGTTTTTTGGTTGTGCGGAACTGCCTTCAGTCTTGCTGCAGAATTGCTTCACAGTGCTTCAGGCGGAGCAGCCACCATTGGTTTTGGAGGCTTTGCAGGCGGGGAGCGACTCTCCAGAACGCAGCAGCAGCAATCGCTTGAACTACAGGATGTGTCACAGGTTAGCAAAATGTCTATATCCTAACTCGTTGGGTTTGTTGAGCTTTTTTCTTGCTGCCGTTCTTCCATTACTCGTGTATGAGGAGGGATTCATGTGCATTTTCGTGAACGAGGGCGTTGTTTTGAACGCCTTTCTTGTTGACGAGTGTGAAGCAATGGAATTGGCCAGACTTTTTGTTGACCAAACCGATACTGTAATTGAAATGCCTGGCGGATTGGCCGGACTTCTAATTCCAAACTCTTGTTGATCAAGGTTGTGCTGTCATGAAAATGAACCACTTTCTTGATAAAAAGGTATGTAATGGTGAAACAATAAGCTCATTTCTATGTTTTCTAGAAATGGAAGGGGAGGGGATGGGACAGACTTTCACCTGACTGGCAACGGATCACAGAACATGAGTGCACATGCACACACTCATATACACACATACAGACACACACACGCACACACACACACACACA